TCTGGACTAGCATTGTTTTAGTTACCATATGAGAGTTTCCTGTGTTAAAAACATGATTTACTATACTATACCTCTTTATAAAACATAACTTGTACTTTGTAATAAGAGAAATATGTATATTATCGCTACTTGGAACAGTAAGAACACGAAAGTCCTATGCTACTGCATAGTAATGCATTGGCCTATTTTAATACACTACTAAGATAGGCTTTTCTTTTTCAATCTTGATTTCAGAGGTCAAAAAAATTTTTCAATTTTTTTCAAATCATATATTGGTGTAGACTGGTCTTTTAAGAACATTTTCCTGGAAACATTTTTTGGATACGACGCCCCGTTATGGAGTTATGGTTTTTTAAACAACATGATGTCAGAAAATCAGCCCAAAAGCTTATCTTATTTCTGTTGGTTACGCACCGCTGATTCGCAATGTTTGTCATCACTTCAAGATAAGATGTCTACCGATTCGTGAAAAAGGCCTATTGGCATAGGCCCCTACCTATATAGAATTAATCATTTTCCTGGTTCCTTTCGGTTTTCACGAAAGAACTGGGATCAATCAGAGAGTACATATAAACGAACGGCCACAGAGAAGATGGGATCAGATTCGACGGTGCAGAAGTGTGCGAGCTGGTTGTGGTAGGCCTATCTATGCACATCTTTAACGTTAGAAACCAAACTTGTCACGTAAGGCCTAAAACCTAGCCAGTCTAAAGACTCTAAAGGGTTGACGACGATGGCCTGGCAATTCTCAAAAATTGCTCACGCAGCAACGCAGACCGTAGGCGAAGTTACGGAAAAAACATTTATAAACTTGTAGTCATTCGGTCTGAAAATCACAGTCGAAACAACTAACCTGAAATCAGTCAATCAGCTGGACATCATCTCACCTTCATCAGGCTCATATCGTCCGTCGAAAACCAGGAACATCAAAGATACTAGAAATACAAGATAGAGTTCTCCACACAAAAAAGTGTTCCACCGTGTTCCACCGAAATGCATGGTGGGAATACGAAAAATGGGACGCCCCCTACAGCTGGATCTAAAAAAACTTGTGCCAAACTTTCGTTACCAACAAGTCGTCGCGTATTTTATTATCAATTCTCAACAAAGATACTAGATATAAAAACAAACTGGAATAGACACCCAGACAGTGACATCGGTGAATATATATTCTCCTTGGTGGCGGTAGAAATCGTTGCTATTATCCAAATAATACACAAAACAATTAAAGCATAATCATGAATCAGTAAAGAATAAAACAACAATACAGCGCAGAATCGCATGGCCGGACGCACTCTTAGTGAAAAAG